AGAGTTTAGTACTCTTTGATATATTTTTTTTGTTTTATTTCTATTGTCACTAATTTCATCATTTCTAAGTACTCAAATAGAATTGTGCATGCATACTTTTAAAATAGTATCTTATTAACTAAGCTTTTTCAATTAATACTTCAACATACATGAGAATCTCCAAATTAGTTAGTATAAGTAAAACTTGAAAATTTATAATCAAAAATATGCCTGCCTAAAAATTCAGTTTAAATAAAAACTGAACAGGAAACAGAAACAAGTCCAGTAGTCTGGAATTCCGTTGAGTAAGCAATAAAGCTAATTTAACAGTCGGGACCCATTATTGAGAAATTTTGTTTCATTCTAAAATATCTAAAAGCGTGCTAAAGAAATGGACAAACATACATATGGTCAAAAAAACGGAAATACATTACCCTCCGCGGTCGGGTAAAAAAGTATTATAAGGATGAATGGCAGCCCTATTGCAATATAGTACAAGAGACAGACGTTCAAGATCAAAGGAATTCGTCCCAGGAAGTATGTAGCGTGTAACACACAAATGTAATTTGTTTTTATGCTTACGTCTTAACAAACTTAAATAAAGATCTTAAAGTGCCTTTATGAACGGAAAACAAACAGGCGTAAATTATTGCGTTTGCTATAAATTGGTAAAGGAATTTATGAAGGTGCAAATACTAAGGGACCCTTAGGGAGATTAATCGGAACGACCGTCTGGGAAAGTGACCTTTACAGATTTTTGTCATAGCGTAATATACTGTGTAGTGCTAATAACATTCTATGTTGTGTTTTGGCAAGATGTCAGTGGTTGAATGGTACTTACTTAAAATATTTATGATGACGTAGTTTTTCGGCATTCATAAGTGCTTTATTTTATGCAACCAGCCTGAACTGACTCGACATTGATTTAAATTTGATGTGGGGTAGACTATATAATTCCGCGTGAAATTTTGTTTCTAGTAAATATTTTTTTAGATTATAAATATAAACATCTAGCAGCTGAAACGTTAAAAAATAAATTATAATAATAATAAATATTCTTTATTGCACACAACAAAGGACACAATACAAAAACAAATAAAACAGAAGAAAGAGTACAATAGGCGGCCTTATTGCTAAACAGCAATCTCTTCCAGGCAACCTATGGTAGAAAAGGAATAATAATAGAGAAATATAGAAGGGTGCAAAAGTAGATACAGGAGCTATACTTACATAAATATAAGAGAAGCAAAGAAATAGGATATAAAATGAATTTAAGATAAATAAATGAGACTATATTAATGATTGACCCTTTAAGCGGAATTCTTCATTTGTTTGTCTGCAGTAAATTAATTATCAGTTTAGTTTGCTATTGAATATGGTTCCACAATGCTATTAAATAGTAATTGAGTATCTTAATAAAACTAGTTTAAATTTCTCAACATGTGATTGGTTAAATGTATACGATTTTGACGACCTCCGTGGTCGTTCGTACGTGAAACCCGGCGGTTTCATGATGTCGCCGACTCGAGAGGTCCCGGGTTCGAATCCCAGTGGGGGCAGATGTTTGTATGATTAATACGAGCATTTGTACTCCAGTCATGGATTTTTAATATGTTTTTCTATATAGATATACTTATATATGTACAGTATATGTATTCTATCCGTTACCCTAGCATCCAATAATACAAGCCTTACAGTGTTTACTTTGGGGCTAGGCTAGGATAAATAACTGTAATGTTGAAATATACAATAGTAATATGCAAAACGCCGCGATAAATAAAAGCACTTCGTGTTTAAAACTGAGAAGGTCGATGGAACAACATAATATTCCAACCATAATGGTCAGTGCACCCGCCCGGAATACGGAGGCTGCGGGTTCGAGTCCCGTCTGATGCCTGGACCGCGTGGATTTTTTTCTAGAAAAATTTAGATAACATTTGGCAGTTAAATACTAAAAAATAAAACTATAATTTCTAAATCTTTTTTTAATGTTTTATACTTGTAAAGGTAGTAATTTCACATTGTGGGTTACCTACATGTAACCCAATGTGTTAATGATGCCTAAGAAATACTAGAGAAAATTCGACACAGCCATTAGGGCCTGAGTAGCTTAATAGTCAGTGCATCCGCCCAGATTGCTGAGGGTAGGGGTTCGAGTCCCATCTGCTGCCTGGTCCGCTTGGAATTTTTTGTAGTAGAATTTTCTTTAGATTTAATTAAATATCAAGCAGTTAAATGTTTTAAATATATATATATATATATATATAAATTTCGTAGTTATATATAAGTACTTATATTTTGGAATTGGAATAAAAAACACTTCTCAAATAGATAACAATTCTGATTTACGCAAACGCATTTGGCTAAGTTTAAAACTCGCTCGAACTGTAAATATTTCAGTGATCTGCATTTTTATCACCGCACTATTATCCGGTACAAGACGCTCTGTTCAAGTTTTGCACTTAGATAACTTAAGTATTTAAGATGCCAGCGCTGTGTTCACTTAAATTCGCTCGTGGCCCGTTTGCATAACCTTCTTAGCTTCTCTAGTTTTTAAATATTCGCAAGAACGGCACTAAATATAAAAATTTAGTGAAAAATTCATCACGCTTTTAAGGGCCCACTATCCTCATCAGATCATAATATTGATAAGTGGCTGTATTTATGGTGTATTATTTATATCAAAATATCGAAAAATTTACATATTTGATGTTATTTTACTATGTAGTAAAAGGATCGGTCACTATAGCACAAAATGCCTGCCAGAAAGATTTTCTGCAATGAGTAACAAGCGACCTAACACTGGGCTCCGCGGGGTCCATTTTCACCACGTCTTCTTCTTCAAAACGAAGAACTTTCGCATCAGTCAGAGCCTTGAGACGCCCTCCTTACAGTCCTGACTTGGCTCCGTGTGACTTCTTTTTATTCCCTAAAATAAAAAATCAGCTCAAAGGGATGATACAGTTTTCATCGCCGGAAGAAGCGCTAGCAACGTTTGAGAAGGCCGTGGAAGAGGTGTCTACGGAAGACTAGAAAAAATGTTTTGAAAATTGGTTCAGACGAATGAAACTTTGTAGAGAGGCTGGTGGAGAGTTCTTTGAAAAGATTTAATAAAAGGTATCTTTTTATAGAAGTTAGTTTTTTTAGTTTCTCAAAACTTTCTGAGTGTCCCACGTATTCTATCCGTTACCGTAGTATCCCATAACACAAGCCTGCAGTGCTTACTTTGGGACTAGACTAATTGGTGTGAGTGTAGGAAATATTTATTTATTATTTATTATCTGTTTTACTAATACGTGTTAAGTTATATGGGAGAACTACCTTGGTACCTAGTTATCCCTTACAAATTCCCATGATAATTAGAATTTCACACGAGGACTAGCTCACTGTTTATTTGCATATCTCTGTGGGGCCGTTCCAACGAATGGCCCATAAACTGCTCGATAAAAGCTAAGGTAACAGTTTAGTGGGCGATTCTGAGGGATAAGTGTTACTTTCGCTAAATCGTATTACTTATTTCGTCGCGTAAATTTAATTGCTGATGCCGAACAAATAATACCTACCCATTTCGTTCGTCTTTCTACCCAGTTTATACTACACAATTTTGGACATTCTACGTTTCTCTTTGCAATATATCATGCATTTTTTTTTTTTTTTCAATTGCAAAATATCATGCATTTTTTGTAGATACTTATCATATTTGTGACCTGAAACTTCTTTCCGTTCAATGAAACAAATACTTCACGAACGTAGCACGACTTAATATATATATATATAGGTATCTGTGTGTGTTGTGTGTGTGTGTGTGTTTGTATGTGTGTGTGTGTGTGTGCGCGTGTGTGTGTGTCGGTGTGTGTGTGTGTGTGACGAGCATGAAAGTTGGAGGGTAACTCGGTAAGGGTGAAACGGTACGAGCGACACACGATTATATATAAATCTATATGAGTGATGCTTGCGCTTTTCTATTCCCCTATGCCTTATGAACCGCCTAATGTTAGGTTATTTACAAAAATAAGTTTTATTTCAGATGTGTGGTCCGTACACACTATTTTTTTTTGGAGTTAGAAGCAGAAGTTTAGATTCACAGTCAACGATATTTATATCGTTGTTCACAGTTCCGAATGTTTTTTTTTATTAATTTTTTTTTCATAAAAACTAAGTACAACACTTATTACTATTCAAACTGTGCAACAGTTTGTCGGCAGTAGCTCTCATGGACGTTGCATAATATTTTTTGTGTACTTATCTCACTATATTTATAAATAGGTAACATAAATATAAAATGGAAAATATTTAAATGATCCCAAAAAATAATCAGCTAATGATCACCAAACAAACACAGCTGATAACTTAAGATTTAGGTTAACTTTAGCGATTTCAGCAACCTCAAACCCCTGAGGATTAACCACTATTCCCTCGATGATCATTCAAACATGTGCCATCGAAAACAAATGTAGGTACATACTCATATATTTATATATCTTTCTTACTCAATCATGCAAAAACGGCTGAACAGATCTGCTTGTTGAAATGGCATAAATATGGCATGACTATTTGTTGCCTGTTATATTTACGTACATTATATACATGCAGAGGCGGCGTAAGGCGTGGGCGACGTGGGCCACCGTCTACGACCTCGCGGTACAAGGGGCCTCGCGCCTCAAAATTTTTTATGCATTGCTTAAAAGCGAATTTCTTTTTTTTATTATTTTATTAAAGCCGTCTTCAGGTCGCCACAGAACAGGGTCTCGCGAAATCTGTCTTGCCCACATCAAATTTAGGTCTTGCCCCGCCACTGTATACATACCTACTGTGTATATATATATATATATATATATAATTTTATACACACATACTCACAAAATATACAACAACATATGCCTTCCACGTCGCCCATAATAATTATGTTCTTTAGGCACACACGGATGGGGCGCACCTAACTTACCTTGCCTACGTATGTTTATCATCCTTTCGTTTATCAGGTCAGCATTGTGAATTGAGATTTTTCTGTCGCACCCCAGGTCAGTCCCACAACACTTCGTACGCACTATACCGCGTGGGAGACGTATCCAAAGCAACAGTGAGGGCATTCGCGCAGTACGGCAAGCTCGATGACCTAGTACAGGAGGGGGAGAATGAGCCGAAAGTGTACGACCAGTTCTCAGCCAAAGCACTGGGGAGTGGAGTGGGCGAGACTGAGAATGTGGTGCTGGTGGACGGCGGACATACCCTGGTGAGTTTCTCGTACCTAAACAAAATAAATGAAACCATAGAGTATATGTATTCTATTCGTTACCCTAGCATCCCATAACATAAGCCTTACAGTGCCTACTTAGGAGTTAGGCTAATTGGTTAGGGTTGGAAATATTTATTTATTTATTTATATTGAACCTCTTGGAAGCTCTATTGATCTATACCTTTGTCTCACTTCACTTTAGCACTAAAAACGACGGGTTGCACTCCGGGAGTGCGGGCAGAAGTGAAAACTTAAATATTAACGTTGTGCATTTTTGATATTTTGGAATGGTTAGGGAATAATTTTGCACGAATTGCTTTAATTATTAGTATAAAAGTACTATCATGTATGTGGTAGAATATAATATTTATTTATTGCGTTATCGTACACAAACATGACAATTTATATTACATTAAAAAAGTTTACCTCTCAGAAAAATCAACTTACATGAATCACGTTTAAGCGCACTTAGCGACATCTATTGTAAAAAAATGCAGTTTCTTCGCAATAAAGCTGCCACGTGGACATCCTAGATAGAGACTTATTATTATAATACAATAAAATAAAATATTACTATGTTTCATCCAATATATTGAAAGTCAACAAACAACCTTTCCAATTTTATTGTGTCATGATGCGATCAGCCCACGTGTTTAACCTGACGCGAGTTTAACATTTTTTACCCATACAAAAAAAGTGTACAACGCCGCTAAACAAGTTTTCACTTCAAAAAGAAAAATAGCCGAAAGATGTAGTTCTAATTTTCACCACTAGCACGTGGTCTCACGTGGAAAATCCGCGCCAGTTTCTTCTCACAAAAAGTTTACTTTATTACTTTTAAGTAAAAAATCATACAGTTTCCTCGCGATATTCGTGCGGACTCGGTATTTACAAACTCGTGATCATGGTAAACCCTTCATTTCGTCTCGGTCTTACATTCGCCTACTCGTTTTACTACCAACTTAGCGCACTAGGCAGGCGTGTACCATCCTAGGCCTCATCATCACTTTCCATCAGAGAGAGAGATTGTGGTCAAACGCATTGCCTATTATGCATAAAAAAAAAACTAATATCATAAATGAATATTACAGTTTGGAAAATTGATTTAGGATAAATAAAAGAAAAATGTGAAGCTGAGAAAGGATAGACCAATATCGAATTCGAATAGTTTGCGAGTCTGAAGTGTCATTGGCAAACTTTGTATGGAAACTTAAAGAGCAGCGACGTAACGATAACACATTTGACAATGACATTTCGCACTCGCAAGCTGTTCGAATTCGATTTTGATTCGTGCTAAGGGTACTGTACCCCTAGCACGAACTTTTATCGAATTCGAATAGTTTGCAAACCGAAAGCTCAATGTCAAATTTTGTATGGAAACTTGAACAGCAGTGGCACAAAGTACGTAACGAGAACTAAAAATCAGTACCACTAGCACGAACCAATATCGAATTCGTATCGTTTGCGAGTCCAAAATGTCATTATCAAATGTGTACTGATTTTTAGTTCTCGTTACGTACTTTGTGCCGCTGCTGTTCAAGTTTCCATACAAAATTTCACATTGACATTTCGGTTTGCAAACTATTTGAATTTGATAATGCTGATGAGATGCTAGGGGTACAGTACACATTTGACAATGACATTTTGGACTCGCAAACGTTACGAATTCGATATTGGTTCTACTGTATTGATTTTGATTTTTTTTAGAATAACGTTTTATTCTAAGATTCAAATGAAAGAAATATCAACTTCAAAATAAAGTCATTTTGTATGTCAAAGTACTACACCACAATTTAAAAAAAAGTCGTAAAATATCAACGACCCATAGTCCTCCCCAAAGATCTCCACACCGATCGGTCCTGCGCTGTTCGTGTGCAGATATTTTTTTGAGTTCGTTTACAATTTATTCTTAAACTGTGATTTTGTTATATTTCAGGTATCATTGATCTGTCATCTGATACCATCCCCAGACTGGTTTGTCGGCGTGGACAGTGTGGACCTGTGCGTAGACTTCTCTTGGGTAGACCAAATAACCCTAGATGTAAGTATAATTAGTTCATTGTTGGATAATACTATATTTTTTACAATACAAGACTTACTTTGAGTGTGAGGGATATTTTATTATAATTTTTAGGGTTCCTTACAAAAAGGGTCATAACGGGCCCCTATTGCTAAGACTCCACTGTCCGTCTGTCTTACACCAGGCTCTATCTCATGAAGCGTGATAGCTAGGGAGTAGAAATTTTCATAGATCATATATTTATATTGTCGCTATAACATAAATACTAAAACTAATATACAATGGGAGCTCCCATACAATAAACGTATGAGAAACGTTTTTTTTGCTCTACATCATCAAAGACAATAGCATTCAACAGACGTGATTATTTTGCCGCTTTTTGCTCGATATTACAATATATAGTGTCTAATGTTGTACAGAACCCTTCGTGCGCGAGTCCGACTCGTACTTGACCGGTTTATTTACCCATCCTTTGCAGCTGGAACCCTTGGATGCTGGTGCGGCTAGCGGCCTTACCTTCACCGCCCCACGTTGGGAGACTGACCCCCCCGAGCCAGTCACTAAGCACACGCCACGAAGACCAAACCACCCCGCGTCAGGTTTCTACTACCCGACACTCAGGGAGCTGCCGACCATCGCTAAAGTGGAGTTTACCAAGGTGCGTATTACTTATGCTGATACTGTCATCGTCAGCCTATTAATATCCCACTGCTGAGGCCTATGGATGCAATAGGGTGATTATGGGACTTCCAAAGACTCACCACGCGAGTCCAATGCGGATAAGGAGCCAAGGCCCCTCCCTCAAAGCCTCGATCACCCCGTGTCAGGTTGCTACTACCCGACAATAAGGGAGCTGCTGAGCATCGCTAAAGTGGAATTCACCAAGATGCGTATTACTGATGCTGATACTACGCTAGCCTATTATTGGCCCTCTGCTGCGGCCTATGGATGTAATAAGGTGATTATGGGACATGCAAAGACCCACCACGCGAGTCCAGTGCGGATAAGTCGCTAAAGCCCCTCCCTGAAAGCCCCAATCACCCCGAGTTAGATTTGTATTACCCGACAATCAGGGAGCTTCCGACCATCGCCAAAGAGGAATTCACCAAAGTGCGTATAACTGATGCTGATACTATTATCGTCAGCCTATTAATGTCCCACTGCTGAGGCCTATGCATGAGATAGGCAGATTATGGCACTTACAGAGACCCACCACGAGAGTCCAGTGCGGATAAGTCACCAAAACCTCATTCTCAAAGCCCCAATCACCCCGCGTCAAATTTCGACACTCAGGGAGTTGCAGACCATCGCTAAAGTAGAATTTACCAAGTTGCATATAACTGATGCAGACACCATCGTCGTCAGCCTAATAAGAGTATAACATATGTAGTACTTATAACTAGAAAAATATCCAACCGGACCAGGCAGCAGACGGGACTCGAACCTGCACCCTTCGCAATCCGGGCGAATGTAGTACTTTCTTTAGAATCAATTATCTCAAAAAGTTGGAATAGCGAGATTTAGCCGAACTATAAACCCGCCACGTAGATCAAGTGTGTGCTAACAACTTTCGATGCAGCCTTAAACAAGGAATGAACGTGCTTTCCAAACCACGGAGGAGCTCGATATATGTAATAAATTGGTCACCCATCCTATTTGGCCCAGCCATTGCGAAAAATGCTTAACTTTCACGACCGCAGACGGAGCGCACTGTTTATTGTTTCACCGAGCTCCTCGGTGCCACTGTAGCTCTTAGGAAAGAACATTATTACAACATTCTATTAATTTTCTTCGGAGCATGACTTGTTGGCTGTGTTCTGCGACCTTGGCTCTTCACGACAATACGAGGAAACTTTATACACTGAACACTACGGAATGTTATCAACTTTCATCTCAAGTAATAAACCACCAATATCCGAAACTGTAATTGCTGTTATATCTAACCACGCACACACTCAAGCTTGCAACCAGAATCACAATATACAGCTAGAGAACGCGTTAATCGCCCAAGGGACGTCAGAAACATAATTATGTAATTACTGTATCTAGTCACAACACAAAGCGTAACGAATAATACGGTTACTCGGAAGATAATTATAGGGATGTCTTCTTAACATGACGTGATTAAGTAATCGAGCCTGCGAAATCATAAATATTCGCCCTACTTTGGCTTTATCATTAGGTACAGAAAAATATCTACTGAATTCTTTACGATTGATTTTTGTAAAAGTCTTAACTAGGGATTCGGAGAGTTGTGTTTCGGTTTTTAACTTAATCGAAACAGGTTTATATAAAGATGAAATCGAAAAGTTTCTTCAGTTGCACTATAACGTTTATATTTTCCTATGAATTTAATTGAAACTTAAAATACCTTTATAACACGTAGAATCGTTTCTACTCCTACTTTGAAAATTAGATGAAAAACTTCTTTTATGTTATAAATGTTACATGAAATCGTTGTGTGTTACAATCATCTGATAGTAAACTATAATCATAACATTAAGACTTTGTTTTTGAAACTTCTATATGTGAAAGAAAGTTTTAAGTTTAGTTTAATGCAAAATGGCCCCTGATATCGACTGGAAGACTTGTCTATCCTATTTAAGATTAAACGTGAACTTAAAACGTTTTTAAAATTTCAGGTTAAAGAATATTCTTCTAAGGAAATCAACGAATTAGCACGCAGAGATATGTTAACTAAACTGAAACTTAAAGATGAATACAAAGGTTTCCATGAAGATGTTAACGTAGATGATAGTGATGAACACGATGATGATGATAATTACGAAGAGTCAGAAACAGTAACTAAGAACAATGTAGAACGACTCATGGAGCTTGAAGAGGAACCGTTTGGTACACCCAAACAGAACCAGGCTGATAATTACGTGATTGTAGTGACTAAAGCACCAACCACAACGTAAGTTGATTTTGTTACAACAGTATTAAATCTTTAATTTTCACAGTCATATTTTGTACATCAAAGGTATTTCATTCTAATAATTACCGCACATATTAATTTATGTGTAGACTGATAAAAGCAAAAGAAATTAGACAAGAACCAATATATTCTGTAATCTGGTAAGATCTCTACTTTTAAGCTGTCTGCTTTTTAAGCTATGCAGCTATACCGGAGAATATCTAACCGAGACGTTCAAATCCGTAAATCAAAAAACTATTTTTAAAGTTGTAAATATTAATTTAAGAATTCAAAGAATATTGTGCTTTCTTATTAATCAAAAGTAAATGCATTTATATATTTTTTTATCTTAGCCCATCGACAGCAAAAAAGTAAGTAAATAGGTTCTTAGTTGGAGATTTCAGCAAGCTTGAATCTTACAAAGGATTTTAATTCAGTAGATTGATCAATTAGATAACCTCCTTGAAATAAAATAGAGGGGATTCCATATTTTTTGTCTAAATCCACTATCTACCACCACAAACTCGGAAATATGGGGTTTTTACTGAAATCTCATAAAAAGAACATCAATAAATTTGTGGCCGTTCGAAATATGATTTATAATGTTTACCCTTGAACTTATAAGGTCACACAAAACTTTGTACTTCGTGCTTTACTTTCAAACTTACAGCTCTCGTTCACACAATAGATGAACTCATCAAAAAGTTTCAATTCCTAAGTTTAAATAGACAACACTCATATCAAGCAGAATACATTAATGTAATGTTATACAAAATTTATGACTGTCAAATATTAAGAATATTTACATCATCTTAATGCAGCTAGGGGTCATAAAATGCATATAAAAGTATTTTATTATCCTCTTGCTTTATGGTAATGGAAGAATTACGGAGAGTACTGCTGACATTAATGATCTGACTTGCTTTTATATTTTCAATACTGCCATTATTTTGTGATTGCATAGTTGGGGTAAAATAAAGCAATATAATATTAATGGACTTTTCAAAAATAAAAGCACATAAAATTTAAACACTATGCAATGGAAAACAGAAGCATCAACTCATCGTAATTACTACCAACACCCAAGACAATTAGAAGTAGTTTTGTATTCTTTTTGAAATATGAGAGAATGTTCTAACTTTATTCTATCTGGGATTTGAGAGATGGTTTCGTGTGTGCTTGGTGATCGGTTGCGAAACTAATGTAATGATTTATATTATTTGATACGTAAATAGTCACGCTAAACTCTACAAACAAGGACCACTTTTATGAAAATTGTATTTGATTTTGAGTATTGACATAAGCAGCAATGATATCCTTATCCTTGCTTCTAATATAGTATGAATGTTTGTTACTCTTTCACGCTAAAACGATTGAATGGATTTGGATAACATTTGGTTACCGACACAGTTTATTAGTTAGATTAAGACATAGAGTACTTTCTATTGCGGAAAGTATTTGGTTCCCATGCGATTCCCAAAACCTAACTCCAGCGTGGATGAAGTCGCGGCCGGAAGCTAGTTAGATATATGTATATCTATTTATTTTTGATAATATTACTGAAATCATAATTGTAGTTGCACTGAAATAAATAACTTGAAAAATCTTCTTCTCATTTAAGTACGACGACAGAAAAGGAATTCGACAATGAACTGAAGAGTATGGATGAAGTCGTCCTCGCGGTGGCCAAAGGACGCAAGCTTGGCCTGGGGCGACATCTACCAAGGCACTTCCGCCACAGGCTGCATCACGCTGTCAATAGAATTCAACGTAAGGATTTATCAAAACATAGTTATTAAATAGCTAAAAATGTGTAGTAGTCGGCGATTGCAAAAGCTGAAACATGACCGAGGTCTAAACAATTCTCGTTCTCTTAGATATTTGTGGTAAATCGTCGGTCTTAAATCTTAAATATTTTTCGAAAACTCAACAGCAGTCCCTTCCTCTCACTCCTCGCATTGAGCACTTTTGCAACAATTATCTAGCCCCAAACTAATGCTTAGTTTGTTGTTTGTTTGTTAATATAAAAAATTGGGTATTAGATATTTAATGCTAAATGCACCTGTTCATCATACAAACATTTGATGAACTAGGGGAACCTAGGACCACAGGTTTTGCAGGTAGAATCACTAACCTAACCGCTACACCAAGTGGGACATATATTACTATTTACGAGTACTGTAAAATGATTAGTTCAATTATTGTGTTAGTGTCAGATTGTATGTTCCCAATCTATCAACGATTGAAGCTCTCGCTAGAAAGAAAATAAATACCATAACTGCTTGTACAATTAAATTATGAAATACATTAGTGTTTATCATTTTTCCCAAAGGTTGACTGGCAAAATATACTTTAAGCATTAAGCCCTTGTACAATTTCTTGGTCAATGAAGTTTTTTAAATAAATAAATATAACACTGTTCCAGCTGACGATTGCCTAGTCTCGGAATGGAGTGACTGGACCCCTTGTTCTACCACCTGCGGTTTCGGGGACAAGTACCGCTCCAGGAAGGTGATCAGAGAAAAGAGGGGAGATGGAAGGGAATGCCCTGCACTTGTGGATAGAGAACACTGCGGCGACGCCAACTCCTGTGCGCACATGGACTACTTCGAGTGGTGATAGTTAATGTAAATGGTATTAAAGGTAGTTTATCATTAATGATAAGAATTTTGAGAAAAATAAAAATCATGTCTTGGACTGTCAGCGACAGGCTTACGTTTGTTTTTTTTCACCTGTCATTACTGGTTGCTCGTTGGATCTAACAGACGTTTTGGCCCCTATAGTGTGATTCAAACTTAATGGCAGTTGTGAATTAGCGCAAGTCGTTGCGTAGTCTAAAGATAACACTTTCGTGGTACAGTAGGGTTTAATTGAACTGAAACCTGCGCATAAATGCTCTCACTGCTAACTTCACAATCATTTAGTAGTTTTGTTACTTAGCTCCGTAAGATCTCTCAAGCATAAAAATGGACCAAGAAGCTCAATTGCGCAGTGGTCGGCAGTCATGGAATAACTTCCACTTATACAGCTTAACTTTCACAATGGTACTCACGGAGTGGAGAGGAAGAAGAAGAAAAGAAGGTAATTTTTTGTGACCCCTTGTTCCGTGACATGCGCATTCCCCGAAGTATCGCTCCAGGAAGGTGATCAGAGAAAAGAGTAGAGACGGGAAAGAGTGCCCTGCAGTTGTGGACAGAGAACGTTGGGGCGACGCCAAGTCCTGTCCGCACATGGACTGCTTTGAATAGTTATAGCTGATGTAAATGAATCTGAAGTTGATGATGATGGTTTATCATTGATGATTAGGTGTTTTAAAGAAAATAAATATCATGTTTTCGTCCGTCTACATCTTACAATTTTTGTTTTTGTTTTTTGGATCCTACAATCGTTTCGATGCGCCTTTTATGTTACCTTCACTTTAGCATGAACTATAGCTACAAATTTACATAATACAGATAATCTATACTTATAATAAATCTGTAGAGAGGTCAATTCTGTACATGAAATATATTTTTAAAATAACTATCAGGGGGTGATTATTGATCGATACTGATGCCAAAAATGCAATCAGTAAATTTTTTGTATGTCTGTCTGTCTGTCTGTCTGTCTGTGTGTATGTTCCTTATAGAAACAAAAACTACTCCACGGATTTTCACGAAACTTGGTACAATTATTCTTCATACTCCTGGGCAGGTTATAGTATACTTTTCATCACGCTACAATCAGTAGGAGCAGAGTAGTGAAGGGAAATGTTGGGAAAACGGGAGAAGTTACTCCATTTTTTATGCTTCCGTCGCGTGTGCAGCCTTAATGATTAAAGTTACATAGAAATCATGTATGACGGAAATATTCTACATAAAATTGTCTAAAAAATATTCCGCAACAGCATATGTCTATCTTTTATGGTTTACTCACAATAACACGTGTAACTCCCGATAGCTTAGCAGTTCGGAGCATTCTGATTATATTTGTTTACTCTTACGTTTATAATACTCTGACTCATCCCTAATTTAAAAAAGTTAACATTATTACCTATTCAATAAAAACAAAACATAGAAATCGGTATAGAAACACCAAACTTATACATGAAATAAGCCATCGCGCCGTCGCACGTGAATACTGAATCTTGCTATAAGGATTATTTTTGTGTAACGGTTGCCGCGCTCGACACGGGTCGCGGCGGCGGAAGGGTATAAAAAGGCGGGAGGTCCGAAAGCGAGCTTCCCCACCCCCCGACCCTGAGAGACCTTCAGTCGCTCAGTCCCAAACCGATACGGATGCACATCAGAGTGCACAGTGCATCCGTCCTCTAAGCGCATTATGCAGTAGTATTTACTAAGGCAGCGCTGCATCATCCCCTTCTCAGGGGTTGATCGCATCAGATGAAGCCTGTAAGGCCCCTAAGGCCATAGGCATCGTTTAGTCAGTAAGAGTCTGACATAACCCTGCAGCCGGCTGTAGGGTATCCATGAGGATTTCACACCCGCTCCCCCGCCTGGGAGGAAACAAAAAAAAAGAAAGCGAGCTTCATTCGATATTTGGCTGTTGATGCGTTCAGAGCGTTCGACCTTGACAGACAATAATTGATATTGAGAAACCGTGCTTATCTTAGAATGAAAACCAAACATTTGTAAACAAAATAAGCAAATAAATCATGTAAAACGTGTAGAAAATGAGTACTGGAAAACGGAAATATGAGAATTTTAGTTTGATTATAAATACAGGTAATAAAAATGACCGTTTTTATCTATATATGTATATAAAAGTCAAAGGTGACTGACTGACATAGTGATCTATCAACGCACAGCCCAAACCACTGGACGGATCGGGCTGAAATTTGACATGCAGGTAGATGTTATGACGTAGGCATCCGCTAAGAAAGGATTTTGATCAATTCTACCCCCAAGGGGATAAAATAGGGAATGAAAGTTTGTATGAAACTTTGTCAATTTTAAACCGATCGGGCTGGGACTTTGCATGCAGGTATAAGAAGAATCATAGATGAATGTCATTGTGTATAATACAAGCCTGAGAACAAAATCTGTAGTCTACACTTCATCTCTACACCGAAGCGAAGCGAGGGCGGACCGCTAGTGTTTAATACAATTTTATTTTACTTACAACTTTCTACGAACTCAGGCACATCAGATAAGAAGCGTCCGGGGTAGTAAACTCAACCTTAGTGGAGAATAAAGAAAGCCAAATTATATTGAAAACACTTTTCGTTTTTTTCTACAGCTGGTATTTATAAGTTTGCCAGAGGTAGGGCAAGGCCAAGAAAGGTAAGGCATACCGGATATTTCACTCGCAAAGGAATCTTTAGGGGAAATAACCTCCTTTCCCCGTGGAGTCTTAGAACCTCACATGCGGACGGAAACAATACCACTAAAACAGCATTATTTCTTTACTATGATTTATAAATGTATGAAGTCCAGATTACTTCCCTGTCTGGGCTCTCCAATTCGAGCAGCAAATCCGCCATGCCCTATACCTCTCGTAAAATAAGTGATACGTAAAAGCGACGCTTTTTTACCGCCCTTCTCCCGATGCGATGCGAAATGCCGGCCCGGCTGCCTGCCTGATCGATTGCCGTCGACGCCGTATTAATATTCCGTGCGGTGTCCTCACGAAATCAAGGAGTATGTGATTCGATTTCTATACAGGCAAGCAACTGTACAGAGCGGATTGTGGCGTAACGGGAATACTTATGAACTTTTCGGGAATATCATCAACTTTATTCACCGTGATATTACGCAAGGAGAGCAGATGTGACATATGTTATAGTTACTGTCTACTAATAATGCGAGCGAAAGAAGCGATGTTAAATGGTGTGGTGGTTCACGCGTTCAGTTTGTGATCGTGGAACTTTAATGATGGGTGTCAAAGGATGGGTGACCGCAAATTAACTATCTATACCTTCTCCATATGTGTTAAGGCTCGTAAAGATATTAGTCCCGGCCCAGCCGCATCTGTTCTGCAGTTAGTACTCACCAATCCGCATTGGGTCCAGGTGGTGGGTGGAAGAACTGTACCACAGCAGTGAGGATATTAATAGGTTTTCGATCGACTTTGATAGAAGTTCATAGAATTCGTTTTCCGTTTAATTCTACTTTTTGAACACATTTTTTTAATGGATAGTTTTAATAACAGTCCTAACTCACCTAACAAAACCCTGTCAGGACAAGTAACACACTGTCGAGAGTTTAATATCACTACAATTACAATATCTATATCCTTTTCATTTGTTATTTATTATACAGTGTAACCCCATATTTTAATGAAAACCTTAGTAAAACGATAAATTCTAACAAACAAGATATTTAATATTGTTTGATGCTTTAATATTAATAAGGCGTCCAATCCCCATTATTGTCTTAAATCATTTGATATCTTCGCGGCATACTTTACTTGTGTTATAACTTCTCTTATTAATAAAAACATTTATCACATAAATGGTACAAAGTTGGCTTGCTCTGTTCATGTAGTTTTGGGAGTGGAGGCCTGGTATCTTGTAGAACAGGTTTATCCTATTGCAAGCACCAGTCTTCACATTAAGTAATTAAGCACTTTATTGTAAATGTTTTTTTTTCTACTTATGTGAAGAAAAATAAATAAAGAATTTATTATTATTATTATTTTACTTCCCGCCAACTATTCAGCTAAGCTGCAAAGCAAAGACCGCCATAAGGACTTCAATGAATATGATAATAATAAAATTCACTGATTTTTTTGCCTTTAGTTTAAGCTAAATCCACGCCCAAATATAGTTTCAATTGGATCGGTGTCATGATACAGATTACTTAATAATTACTTGGTAATGGGAAGGAGGAGCTCTATGGCGCAAGTGGTTAGCGCGTTCGGCTGCGATCGTTAAAGTTAAGCAACTTTCGCAGTGGTTGGTCATTAGATGGGTGACCAAAAATTTACTATCTCGAGCTCCGCCGTGCTTCGGAAGGCACGTTAAGCCGGGAGGCTGCATCTGCAGTCGTTAGCACCCACCAATCCGCACAGAGCCCGCGTGGTGGGTCATGGCCCAATCTCCCTATTCCATCCATAGGGAAGGCCTGTACCCCAGCAGTGGTGACATTAATAGGCTGATGATGATGATGATGAATGGGAAGATGGGTGCCAATTCAACACGACAATAATGTTTTCGGTTTTGAAGGCGTAAAGAAGTGACTTTGGTTTTTAGTATCAATATTCTCATGCTTCTCGAATCTAGAAATCATTTTGCCATGGAAAAATTGTATGAGCTGATGTTAAAAATGCATTTTCCGTGAATTTTCACCATCTTCTGAACATGCAGAGTACCGATATAAACAAGTGCAACTATCAGAAAACTGTTTTTTGATAAGGATCCCCAATTATGCACCTTTATTAATTGGGTTTTTCATGATACGTACTACCGGCTATTAACAGCCGTAGCCCAAACCGTACTGAGTAACGTGCTGTTAAATAAATAAGCTGCCTCCGGGAAAAAAATATTCGTCCCTGTCCCAATCACGATAAGTATTTGTTTTCGCATGCCTAATGCAACCTTTTTTTTTATTGTGTTTTCATAAACATAAATATTTCTTCAAAGTGTTTTTTTTTGCAACTTAGAATTAGAATTAGAATTTATTTATTTGCATTTGATAACTAACATTGCGAAAACATTTTTCAATATCAGTAACAATAAATTTAAATTCATCAAATAAATAATAAGTCAGTGA